CAGATTGCATAAATTGCAGATTGCCTAAATAGAAATGCAGCAAGGTTCAGGAAAATAAACCTCTCCAGGAGTCAGACACTCTCCTCCCTTTGTACGTCCAGTTGGCAGGGACAGCTGGTCTCATCCTCTCCAGGACAATGTGCCTCCCCATCCTAGAATGGGGAAGTCATCAGGGAATTAATGCTTCTGAGTAGGCATGAAGGAGCTCATCTCTCCATCAGCCTGTCAGCAGATCGATATGCAGAGGAAGCAGGTTTCCTTGCTCCAGTTCATCAGCCTGACACGCAGGCAGCCGCCTCTACATCCCCTTTCCTCCCCTTCCTCTGAAATGATCCATTCCTGCCCAGCAGGCTGGGCAAGAGCCATTTGTTGAAGCCTCTGCCAGAGATGCTCATTAACACCATTAAGTGTGCTCTTTCTTGGAAGGCATGTGGTTCCTATGGAAAGAGAGAAAGAGGGAAGGAAGCAAGCAAAAGAACAGCTGTTAGGAAGCAGGGGCAGCAGCAGAGAGACTGGCAGCTAGGATACAAGGAGCTTGAGTAACACATTGCCTTCACTCCCTGCAGGATGGTTCTCTGCCCCTTTGGTTCCCAGGGGCAGACCAGGCATAGCTGCCCCGTTACTGCATGGCACCGTGTGCTGTGAGCTAGTGCAGATAGCTGGTCCAGAAGAAGGCCATGATTTCTTTCCACTCTGCTGGCTCTGAAGTGAATCTGCTCCCTGAACCCATTCACCATGCAACCAACTCAACTGTCTCATTATTTATTTATTTACTTTCCTTTTCTCAAGGGCTGAGCTCCAGACCAGGAGCACTTCTCTAGAACCTGCATAGGGGAGTTATTTTTAGGCTCTGAAGGCAGGAGCTGAGCAGAGTTTGGACTCGGCTGCAGGAAAGCAGGGCTTAGCAAGTCAGGAAGGAGCCAGAGGGTGGATACAAGGAGCACTCCCTGCCTGCAGTCACCATGGCTCCTTCCTCTATCTCAGACTTCCCCAAAACAGCCGCCCGAGGGGAAGACACTCACTTGCCTGCATGTGCATGTGGGAATCTGCTTGGCAATGCAGAGCAGCCCTGTGTAGAGTCAGAGGCACAACAGGAGAGGGCACAGGTGGAGATGAGAGGGCAGGGAATCCCAGAGCATCCTTGAGAGCCCAGCTCTGGATGATGTCCCTAGCTGAGGACATATCAGTGACTAGCTTTTACCCCCATCCACTGCTGGTGGAAGCAGAGGGAGGATGCACATGTATAGCTCGTATGGGCATGCAGATTATCCTGGACAGATGGTGCCTCTGGCCCCAGAATGGCACCAAGAAGTGGTATGGCAGACCCTCGACCTCCTTTCTTCAAAAAAAAAAAAATGGATGCCACAAATTCCTTTATTGGTTTGTTTGCAGATAAAGCAGATATGATCATTAAAGACAAATCAGCTAGGGTCTATTTCTTAAAGCAGTTTGCATCCATCCATGCAGCAACATGTGTCTGATACCTTTCATATATACTTGAAATGGCTTTCTTGTCCTTGATTCATATTTTTGAAAAAGCTTATTCACCTCTTTGGTTCCCCTGTTACCCATATTACAAGCTTGCCCTTGCTATGTATTTGACCTTTCTGTGGGAAGATTTAATCTGACATGAGCTTCAAGGTAGATTTACTTCTGTTTTAGGCAAGAAATCAGTTTACTTGAGGACCCTGGGATTCCTCTCAAATCCTTCTGAGTTATTTCCACTACCCATCAGCAGAGCAGTCCTCTGAATGCAGCAGTGAATCTCAGACGGTGGCTTGCAACGAGTAACTAATGTTTCCAAAACACCAAACACATCAGTAATCCAGTCGACCAGTTTTAATGTGGAGACCAGATTCTCCTCTGAAACAGCTTTCTGATCCCCAATGTTTTCCCAAGTTAATGCACAATCTTTCTAGGGAACTTGTTTCCAGGCCTGCACGAGTGAATTCCTTGTCTTAGGTGGACCCAGAAAACTGCTGGTTACTTGTGAGAGAAGAAGGAAAAGGGCAAAGCAGCAGGATTCAGTGTTTGCTTTGCTCTCCCTTTGCTCAGCGCTCTGCGAAAGTCCCTGTGTCCTGAGTCCCTATCTCAAACTCCTGCAGGTATTCCCACAGTCCTTCCGGCTTTGATGGACAACTTCCTTCACGCTGAATGGCATTTGTGGAGCCAACAGAGTGTATGAGGGGTTTTGAGGACAGTTGACCTGGTCTCCAGCGTGCAATAGTGACAAGAATGGCCCCTTACCCCCCTCCTTAATCCACCTTCACTTCGTAACTGAGAGTCCGTGAACCTTGTCCCCTGACCTATGAGGCGCAAAAGAGAGGAGGCAGCGAGGGGGAGAAAGTCAGGACCCGTGAAGGCCGGCCAGCATTGGGCGTCCCCTCGGATGGCAGGCCACCCCCAGCACTTGCTCCCCTCACATTGTGCGCCGGGAGCGGGGAGGAAGGGGCGCCAGGGAAGCTTCAATCCCATCTGGACCATGAAAGCCGCCTTTGTTGCGGGGCTGTCGCTTGGGCCAGCGCATGGTGGCCTCTGGTTTCCAGGACGACCGGAGCAGGGTGAGCCGTGGGGAGGAGGAAGGTGGGAGACCAAAGGAAAGTTGTGACAAAAAGCAAACCCTGAGAAGTGGATTTGGGCTGCATTTGCTTCCCTGATTGCTTCTAAGCCACCCTTTCGCTGGAAGCTGAGCTCCAAATTGTGGCAAAGCCCATGCTCAGTGCTGGATGAGAGCAGGCTGAGGTCTGTGGTACAGACCACCAATGGGTCCCATCCAGCTCTACCCCATGTTGAATTCACATGAATCCAGTCTACATCTGTCAAATCAAACCAATACCTTTCACCAACTCCCTTCTGACCTTGCAGCTGGAAGCACCAGACTCTCTCTGCATCCCTGAAACTTATCACCGTAATGTTTAGGAATTTCTGAGCACACATAGGTGTGGTGAAATACAAATACTCCTGGGTGAAGGGAGGAAGCTCCCTCAGTGACGGAGCAGGTTGCATGACTTGCCTGGGGCAATTGCTTCCCAAACCCCAGTAAGCATTAGACTTCACAGGTTTTTGTCTCCACTGTTATCCAGGTGAGCAAACAAAGTGGCACTTGGTGGCATAACACCACCTAGGGAAAAACTTTACCGAAACTCAGTTCTGCAGCCCACCCTTGCTGCCATCTGTGGTGGTCAATATGCTATTAAGGTCCTCCAAACATCTTAATCATTCAGGAACCCTGCAGCATCTGGAAGATTTCCCAGCAATCTTCAGCCTCTTGGCCATGAGGACCTGTCATGAAAACCCTGAGGCAGCTAAAATGACAGAAACACATGAAAACATACATAGGTTGAATAACTTGTCAATGGCCACAGGGGGAATCAATGGTTAAACTTTTAGTGGGACCAATGTGTCCCAGCCGCTGCTTGCCCACTCTACGAGCTCATGCTGTCTCCAACTTCTTGCACTTAGCAGACATACCTCAGGGATATTTTTAGTCAGGTATTTTTGTCTTACCCTTTGCAAGTCTGCAGTTCCATCACGTTTTGGTGGAGTTCAAAGGTGTTTTCCTGCCTCCTGCAGGCATGGGGCTATTTATAGCTATGAGATATTGGCAGCCTAGCTTTCAGGGACAACGGCATGGTGACAAATACATGGAAATGGCTCATTGCCTGTGAGTAATTCCGGGACCAGCCATGAGCCTGAGGTGGAACAAGGAACTGCTTAGTCCTGTATATGAGACAGAGCCAGAAGAGTGGCAAAAAATGAAGAAATGTTGCTTCATGCTGAATATGAGAAAGAAAGCAAAGTTTTTCAGGGAGCTCTCTTAATGCTTGGAAGGCTCCTCTGAGGAGACAATGCTAATTCTGCCCAATGGGTTATTTCAAGTGAGGTGACCTAGTTGTCTTAGCAGTACTGGCTGGTTCTGGCTCTGGGGATGCTCTTAGTTTCCCTCAGGGGGTTAGGGGGCAGAGAGCAGATAAACGTGTTTGCACATCATAGATTCTGATCTCCAAGTCCTGCTTGTTCCCATCTAGGTGATATCATGCCCCCTTCACAAGGTACAATGGAGCAAGCCCCTCAGACTGCCTGCATCCATCTCCCAAGCTGCAAAATATCTTCCCCTGTTGGGGACTTGGGGTAATATTTTCCAGTGCTGCATCAGGAAGAATCAAAAGCGTCAGTTTTTACATACTCTCCACAAAGTGTGTGTGACCTTTCCCAAAAGATATCCACAGCCCCAGTGGTGGCTGAGTGACTACCTCTCAGCTGCTGTGTCTAGCCACAGATGAGCTCTGCCCCACTGTCACAGTGGAGGTGGCAGAGAGCGCACAGAAGAGCTGGACTCCAGCTCTTTGGCCAGCCGGAACTGAAATCAGGCCAGGCCATAGGGAAAAAACAATGTGCATTTCAGCCGAGGGATTTGTCTTTCCATTGAGACCATCCAACTTAAGGACACTGAAAAGGGATCTGCTTTTGGGTCTTTCAGATTGCGTTGCTTCATGGAAAAGGAGATGTGAATTGGGTCTCTTGCTTGTATTTGTGGAGCATTTTGGGGCAGGGTGGGGGGTTGTTTGGTTGTTTGGGTTTTTCTTTTCTTTCCATAACTGAGCATTTCAGAGAAGGAGATCCCAGGAATCTTGCACCCCCTATGAAACTTTGCATCTACGGAGCAGCCAGGAATGGCCAGGCCCTGGCGATCTCTGAATGCCAAAAAGGCTTCACAAGTGCAGGCTTTGCAGAACAGTGCCAGGCTGCCATGAAGATGAGGCTTGGCCTGTTCCAGACCTGTAGCTTTTTCCAATCCTGCTAAAGACAATCTCCATCTGCAATATACATCTACTGTCTAAAAGAACATTATCTTCTGAAACTCTTCAAGTGTTTCCCTGCTCTGACTGAGGACAGGAAAGGAAGAAGAATACCATATTCATCTGACAGCACACAGGAAGTCTTAAAGAGTTGGAAAAGAATTATCCAAGCTGGAAGGGGTCCAGGGAAGCAAGGATGCGCAACCCTCTGCTCAGAAAAAGAGACAGGGAGTTTTTCATCATCATAGCTGCCCGGGATCTGCATTTTATATCTTTTTTTTTCACTTTCTTTTTCTGTGTTTGTATGCATACACCCTAAGGCATCAGGTGCTTTCAAATGAGAGTATGGCAGACTAAAGAAAATGCCCAATAACATTACAATTACTTACCAGAAAAATATATAATAACCACAATATCCATCAGTAATGGAGAGAGTTGCTAGCAGAACCATCCGTCCCTACCTGTGAGGCAGTCATCAGCAAGCATCTGCAGTGGGTTGCCAATTAGTTGGTCGCTGCTTGTGAGCAGTAAAGACAGCAAATCACCTGCAGTCAAAGCATTTTGTTACCTGGTTGACAGCACCAGTCCAGCTTCCACTACCACTGCAGCTCCAGCAGCTTCCAAAGGGCCACAGCTTGTCCTACCAGTGGCAGATGACAACTAGCAGGCCTGATGAGACTGGATGCCCCTCTTAATATCCTAACATGGTCACCCTGATGGACATCCTGACAACGGACAAATGGAGGAAATGACAAACGGAATGAAACAAAAAAGCTTTGTAAATATGTTTCTTGGTCAGATCTCATGAGCGTAACCAATAACATCTGCAATGCCATTTACAGAACAGGCTGAGCAGCATGATCGAGTGTTTCCAGGGAGCAAAAAAAATCACAAATGTGTCTTGCTGCAAATACTGCCTTCAATATGAAATGGATTCAATATGATTATTCACTAGCAAGGTTACTTTTGGTTTTGGGAAATAGTTTATGAGCAGAGGAGATGGTGTAACAGGATGTGGGTATCTAATCTCACTGTACCAGTACACAGTCAGGAGCACTAGCACTTACACAGCAGTCATTTACAATTTGTTTACACACAGGGCTTGCTGGAAAATTGAATCCAGGCATCCAGTTAATAAAATTCATCTTCACGCAGCTCACCAGCGATGTTTGCTGAATGAGAGATGGATGCTAAATTATTCACTCTGCACCACTGGAGTCTCAGCAGTGAAAGAGAAAGGAGATTTCACTGCTGCTAGTATGTTATTCTGTCAATAACAGAGCACTTCATTCTCAAGGCTGTAAGTCTGCCATCTGGTACTGAATTCACCAAGAAAAGTGGAAAAAAGAAACGAGCATTTTTGAGCATTGACTTCTCATTGCACAGCAGCTCTAGAACACATTTTCCAACATTCATGAGAAGTACAGATCCAAAGGGAAGTGCAGAATGAAAGGCATAATATTCTAATCACAGTATTTCACCAACACAGTTGAAAAATAAAAATAGGAAGGTACAAAACCATATTCCATCTATCCTGTCTGCTATTCCTAAGTAGTCAGGGGAGGGAGTAGACACAGATTAACCTTCCAGACACATCACTGTGCTTAACTACTAGATGCATTCCTGTTCCTCCAAGTATACATCTCTCTCCTTTTATGTTGAGCTAAATTTTAGCCTACTGGAATTTTGAAGATTTTAATCCTGGCAACCAGAAAAATGAAAATATTTGTTATGTGATCACCATTATTGGAGAGTTTTATTCTCAGTACCCACTAGAAATGTTCAGAAAGGAAGCTTTGAGAAATTGCTGCTGTGAAACTGGACCTTCAATCTCTTTTTCCTTTTCCCCTCTGATCTCCACACCTTGTCAATTATGCAATGAGAACAATTACATCTACCTGCAGGGCATTACTTGAAGGCAAAGAATATCAGTGAGAAGAGATTCATGCTCTACTTTGACGGGGTGCTTTGGTATCTAGTGGTGGTAGTGGTGTTTTGGCATCCCAGAATAGAACTGCATGGTGACAAGACTCCAGATGAGCTTTCTGTATTTGGAAATGCACCCTAACCTGCAACATATCACACCCAGCAATTAATTTTATCAGAAAACAAACAGAGGAGAACATTAAACAGCAAAGCAGAGCATGTCCCTGCAGGCAGTGCTGCAGAAGAAGATAGAGCACCATGGGTGAATATGAAAGGCTCCAGGAGAACAAAAGAAGAAAAGTAGGCAACAAAAATTAGTAGGGAAAACAAGCCTACTAACTCATTTGAAAAGCCCCGACACTCAACATTGAGCACTAGAAATCTGGAAGGCTTTAGTAAAGCATTAAGTTGTGGGCACTGTGTGACTTGTTAATCTCTTATGCAGCCCAGATATGAAAGAGGGGCAGAGATCATCATTACTGTGTAGCTTCCTGTGCAGTATTACAGTGCAGGCAGGACCTGTAATGACTACAGCATATCCTGGATTAGTCCAGAGAGAAGCTTCTTCCTTTTCATGCCCTTTTCATCCAGACCATAGTCCTTTCACTTTCAATACAATTCTGGAGACTATGTTACACTGAGAGAGGCTTGAAAAGCATTTTACGATACTCAACCTGCATTAACTTGAGCTTAATGCATTCACAAAACACTCAGGAAAACAAAACTTGAATGATCTGCTCCCAGACTAGGCTATCTGATGCCTTCCCAGCCCTGCCTGCTCTCAGTCCATCCAGACTGCATGAATGGAGGCTTGGGTTTCTGCTGATGTACTAAACATACTCAGGCTATATCCCTCCCAGAGCTCCCATCATAGGAGAGGTCCCGCCCATGGGTTGAGGGTCCAGTGAGGATTCTGGTGAGTCAGCCTGGAAGGGTGGACTCATGCTAAATGGGCAGTACTGATGTGTCTGTAAAGGTGCTGTCACAACTGGACATCACTGGAAGTCCTATAATCTCATTCATCCTTTCTTCATTTGGTCCTTCCCCGGGAGTGTCATTGTCCCCGGCAGGAGATTCATCCTGCCTGCTCATGGGTTGTGCAGCCACATATTGGTGAGATATCTTGCATGGGGTTTGTGTTGCTCCTGGAGTTACTCAAAGAGATGGCACCTCCTACCAAGTCCATCTGCCTCTATGCAAGGTCTAAAATACACTGAGAAAGGAGCATCTAGGAGAACAAAGCAAATTCCACTGAGCACAGAAATGGTTTTTAAAAAAGTCTCTAGTTCTTTTCTTGATTCCTGACAGTTCTTCCATTCCTCTGACACCAAAAAGTCAGTCAGTATCAGTGACTCATGTGGTATGTTCCTGGAGCTGAGGACTCATGTCCTACCAAGCACTGCAAAGGGAGTCAGCAGAAAAAAAAAAATTTAAGTGTGTGAAAAAGTAGAAATGCACTATGAGGCAGATGTCTGAGAAAGATGCCCTCTCCTTTTCCTCAAGGGTCTGTCTCATTTTGTGCATCCAAAGGCAGAAGCAGGTTAGAGTTTTACCCCTGGAAGGTAGCATAGGAGATGCCATTTGCAATGCATGGTAGGGTGACAACAAAAGTAGCCTGCTGATTCTAGGATGAGAGACCCTCAGAGTGGTACCAGCGGCATAATCTTTCCTCGGACTTAACCCAGAGGCAGCGTCCCGTCTTTATAACTGATATTATTGGGTTATTCACCATAAAGGTAATTTTTGTACCACCTTTCATGCCTGCTGTCCTCTAATGAAAAAGGATCCACTAATGGAATGGGGGACAAAACTTAGTTCTCTCTCCACCTTCTTTACATGCCATTTGCTGTATTCTCTGCCTATCAGCTTGTCCTTTTGGCTACAGTGACTCACATCTGAGGTAAAAAGCTCTGACATAAGCTCGAATATCCAGTCGTCTTTGGCTTCCTCCACCTCTCCCATCTGTTCCTGCTCTGGAGCATGGACTGCTGGAACTGTTGGTTACTTCTCATCCCACGTCAGTAAAGAAGTGATGCTCTTGCACAGCCTAAAGTATTGGATGCTCTGTTTATTTTCTCTCTCTCTCTCCCTGTCTTTCTCAAGTTGGTCCTTCTGTCCTTGAGGAGATAAGAAACCTTCAAGAAATGAAATGAAAAAAAAAAAAAAAGGTGATGGAGTGCACTGATACCCATACCCAAAGCACTCCTAGGTCCAGGTACAGCACCATTGCACTCATTCTTAGGTACAAACCAGAGTGGTTTTCCAGGCAGTTATTCTCTGGCATGTCAGATTCATCCAGCCCATTTCTTTTCCTCCTGAACATGGTGGGCTTTTAGCTTGGATATTGGTGGGGGAGGGAGGCTTGTTTGATTTTTAATGCTAACTTATTTATTTTTGACATTGCACAGGCCATTCCAAAACCCGCTTTATCTCCGGTGATCTCTGACCCCTGTGTGTCAGGAGTTCAATCTGGGACGTTCCACTCTTTGCCCCCACTTAATTCTTTTTTAGCTGCTCAGTCTTTGAAACCTGGTGCCGTATGCCAGCCCCAAAGAGTCCTGATCAATACTGGGGGACCACATCTCCATGACCTTGCAACCCGCAACGTAAAGGGCAGAGGGCAGAGCAGGATGTCGCCCATGATTTCATTATGAGATTTCAGCTGCACTGGGTGGAGGGGGAGGGAGCATCTTGCTTGCTTGCTTTTTTTCTTGCTTTCTTTTCATGAAGTTTACTCCAGCTGGGATACCAGAGCTCCTGGCTGCCTGTGGACTCCTCTGCCTCCTTTAATCAAAGCAAGCAAGAGCACCATTAAAAATCAAGAGGTCTGAAGGAGTAAAATAAAAAGATGGGCAGCACATCTCTGTGCCGAAAGAGGATGTTAAAGTCTGCCCCTTTCACACCGCCAGCATGGTTAGGTGCTGCAAAATTTTGGCCTCCCTTCTAATGGAAGGACCATTGAAAATTGCTCAGATCTGGACTGACTGCATGGTAGCAAAGTTCCTGCCTTGTGGATAGAGGCATCATGTTCTCACCCCCAAAACCTCAACAAGTTACACGGCCAAGACCCTGCAGCCTGGAGGGAGTCTCTAGGAAGGGGATCGACACCTGGGGTGGCCCTTCCTGCCCTGCCGCTCACCTTTGCAGGCACAGTGTCACAGTCCAAGAGACAATGCAGATGTGGAGGATCTCCGGACATGCCCTCAGCCCACCCCTGACAAGACTGCAAGAACCATGTTTGCTCAGGGCACAGTAGTCAAGGGCTACTGTATTTAAAAGCCACTCCTTTTCCAGTCACTGATCTATCTCTTGGACATTTTTTCCCCTCTTCTTCATGCAAAAAGTACATATGCTTGTTTCTGCTGTGGTTGCTTTCATTTTTAGAACAAGAGAAAGAATGGATGAAAAGAGTTTTATTGACTCTCCATGGGACAGCAGAGCTTTTATGGAGCAGTTACCAAAGGGAGATTTAACCCACCTTCACTTCATCAGGGAAGAAAATCCAACAGTTAAGGCTAACTCAGGCAGCTGAGAAAAATAAATTTTTAAAAATCACTCAGGAGTAGCCTAAGACCAAGTAGTATGTTAGAGAAAGAAAGAAAATCTCCTTTGGTAAGAACTTTTCTCCATTTTCCACTGTGGGTCCCATTTCCTAGGTATTTGTGCTGAGTTCGGGCAGAGCCAGGCTGCCAAAGGACCATGTGGATGGACCAGGGTGGCAAGACTATTGCCTCAGTCTCCACAACCCATGCACTGTCTCTTCTGGGAGGACAAAGCTAAACCCCAAAATCTCACTCTGCTGGTCCTAACCAGGGATCACATCCAGTGCCAAATCCATATAGTCTACAAAAAGCTATGGCCAGACATAAGGGTTAGACCTCCAAGTCATTCAAGGTAGAGCATGGCCATGCCATCAGTCACCGCAGTGTAAGACATGCAGTACCTCAGTTACTGGGCTGTGAAGTCAGCAACCAAATCCTGTTAAACCTCCTGCTTTCCCAAGAACTGGACACCTCCAGTTTCCTGGGTGTCAGCAGGAGGAGGACGTGGCCCTTGATAAGCAATAATAACACTTAGGAGAGTTCAGTGTTGCGATAAGCATTTAATTCCTGGTGTTAGTATGTCCGAACCTTTGACATGCAGACCATGCATTTGCTTCCACCTCTCAGCAAATGTAGGCACAGTCCATGACAAGTTCTAAAGACTGAACATTTTGTCCCATTAAAAGTAAAAGTACTTCGGATCAGTCCTGGTTTGGGGTCTGTGGCTTGTATATGTGTGTATATATATGGGCCTCTTAGTGGAACTAGGCGGAATGCAGGTCTTTGTGGGGCATTTTAAGGTTAGATGAGTTGAGAGATCTAATTGCTCCAAACCCTTGCGGTGTTCGAGTGACACATCCTGGCGCTCCCAGAGGCTCCTGGGCCTTTGATGCAAAGCTGTCAATATGGCACAGCAGAATGTCAGGGAAGCCCCTGTGTGTGCTGGGCTCCAGCCTCAGCGTTTGCCCAAGGACAGAGACTATTTTTTGCTTTCGACTTAGTGTGCAATACCCATTGGTGAGAAGGGGAACAGATACCCGAAACAGAGGGCACTGCTGTGCCCCATCTAATTAACCCTTCTGACAGCTTCAGTTAAAAATAAAGGGGCCTTTAGGTCCCTGCTGGAATGGCCTATTTTATGTGTATCTCCTTGGTTTTGCCTTGGCATAGGATGTTCGGGAGGCAGTTATTTCAGGAAAGGTATGCTACAGATAACTGATACATCAGCCAGGTGTCATGTTCCTTCATTTATTTTCAATTACTTTGTCTCATTAGTTCCAGTGAGAATTTCCTGGTGTCAGTTCATCTGGTCACCTCCGAGCCTGCCATACCTCTCCAGAGACATTTCTCCAGTGTGGTGTGATCTCTCCCCTGAGAGGAGACTGTTACAAAACAGCTCTGCTTCTCTTTCCGTTTCATCTTGCTCTTGTCTTCTGGGCCAGTCCCAACTTGGTTTCCCTTGACAGGGCCACACGGTTCCTGGAGCAGGCAGAGGAGAGAAGCCCTATCCAGGCAAGAAGTCCAGGCTTTGGTGTGGGAGTCTCCCTCTGCTCTACAGGATGCTCAAGTTAGCAATGGGTGACACCAGTGTCCAGTACGTTCAGCATCATGACTCCTTGCAAATCTCCTTTCCAAGTCCATCAGACCCTTGTTACCTACTTGCTGGCAAGTACAAGGCCCTCAGACCTCCTTTGTCCCTTGGCTCCTTCCTCTGAAGACCATTTGCCCTTCTTAGCTGCTGAACTTCGCGCAGTTTGTGTGGATACAGTGAATAGCACCAGTGAGCTGAGCAGACCTACCTGGGGGGGTTGTTTCCTTCCTTTCTGGGGGCAATTCTCTCAGCCAAAGCAGCCAGGACAAGATGAGAGGTGGGAGGGTAAAGACCCTGAACTACTTGAATTATAATTTCTGTTTCTCTACGTTGTGCGCACACACATGGAGCTGCCTCAGTCTCCCCAGTGCAAAACCCTTTTCACCAGGCCGAGACCCACTCATTACTTTTTCACCTGGGAGAGCATCACCCTCTTGGCAGTGAGCATATGCCATCAAAGGCACCCAAGCACAGCAGCCAGGCAAAGGCCTGACTGGCATCAGGGTAAGGTTGTTCTTCCTGAGAATCTCATCTCTCATCTTGTTCCTTGTGGTAATTGTCCTTTTTATCACTTTTCTTCTCTCCACTGACACCAAGAGCACCTTCTGCCACTCCAGCGGCTCATCCCTGCAGCCCAATTACTCTCTCCTCTCTAGCCCACATCATGCCAGAGTTTCTTGCTGGCTCTTTGCCCATCCATGCATGTCCACCTCAACCTCAGCTCCTTGCAACAGTAAGAGAACCCGTGCTCAAACATAACACCATGCAGAGAGATGGGGACATTCCTGGCAGGAGGAGACATTGATGCCACTGGACATGTCTGGAAGAGGCAATCCAGCTCTCTTCCTATCCAAAGATTCCTCCTGCTTTCTGGTACAGCATTTAATGACTAAAAGTAGGCTGAGTTCTCCACTTTATATCTCGGCTACTCCATAGCTGTACCTTGTCATGGTGGATCATCCTATAGAATGAAGTAGCCTCACCATTTTTTTTACAGTACTGGACACCTTTTTATCTGAGTGAGCTGCTCTTTAAGTATGATCTGAGCTGTTTCTGGCAAGTTCCAGCTCCTGCTGGCACTGTTGTGTTGGCAGACCCAGGAGGGAGTGGCATGGGCTGCTTATCTGCCTGTGCGTTGTCAGCAGCAAGGCCAGGTAAATGCTGATGGTGACAACAGCAGAGACCAAGAAGGTCATGATGTAATTCTCAG